AGAAAACTCTATGATAGGGTTTTCTTGGCAAGAGAGTCCCCAAAAGTTGGAAAGGAAAGTTGGAAAGGACTTGAATACAAATAAAAATAACAACAAACTAGAATACCCTCTAGCTGTGTCAGCAATCCTTGCTTGGAGACTAGCTATGACACTATCTTTGAGTAACTGAGAACTCATTGGGTGACATTATATAATTTATGCATCCCCAATTTCCATGCTCACTAAGTAGCAAAATCTTGTCTGTATTGCTTTCTTCTGCTGTTTTCTTTGTCTTAAATAAGAAAAAAATGTTAAGTTTGGTAAATTCTTCATAGTTATATGAAATTTGTTAATTTTTCAGTAGGTACATTAATTCCTGCAAGCGGAGGAGAAGGACGAGGGCACAGAGATGAATGGGGTTAACTTTCAAGCACTTTTTTAAAGTTGTGCAGTACCTCAGTTAACCTTAAGTTTCAATCAGAGGCATAGTGGACGATGCTAATTAAATCACAATTAGGCTTCAATTAAATTAACAACAGGCTCTCTTAGAATTCATAATCTAATTTGTTAATCAGCCTGCAGCAGCATCTCTTGGTGGGGAGTACAGAAAGGTTAAGCCCAAGTGTTGCAAATCACTGAATATATTAAATTAAAATAGAACTAGGAAAGGATTCCCGAAAATGCTGCCACATTTATACATGCATATGAGATTTCTTTTAAGGGCCTAATGTAAATTTAGAAATCTATTATGGAGCCAGGGTCCCCTTTTCTGGATGGAGAAAAGCTACATGCCCAAAGGATCTGGCATGAAGGGAAAGGGTATAGCTCAGCCAGATTTTTTAAAATGGGAAATACATAAACTTTTCCATTTATATCTTATTGCTTAGATTTCAATGTAATAATTAAAATTCTCCACAATTCTAGGAGACATTTCCATATTTGAAATGAGTGAGTTCAGTGTTGGCAAACAAGATCCCACTGTTCATTATCAAGAGACAAATTCCCCTCCACTCATGCTTGATTAGTTACTGTTACATTTATATGTAAAATCCAAAAGAACCTTAAATGCACTTAAATTGGCATTACTTGGATATTGACTATGGAAAATTGGCACTGGGTGAGATATTGACTATCCCTTTCAATGTAAATACACCAAAGTCAATGAGCTTGTACTGATTCCCAAATTATGGCCCTCCAGGTGTTTTGGATTTCAGCTTGAAGAATCTCTGTAGCTGAGACTGCTGGGGACTCAAATTCTAAATACTTGGAAGAAGAAATTTCAGAAATCACACAAGTAGTCAATGTATACATTTAGTCATTTGTTTATGAGTTCTTCCATGTCCAGGAAGGAAGGAAGGAAGGAAGGAAGGAAGCTGAGAGATTACAAAAGAAAGTACTTTGGAGGCCAGGCTGTGCCTGTTTTAGACCTGAGGCCACAGGTCTGAGGCAGAGAGACAATTTTCACAAAAAGGACACTCAAAAGAGGTTTCTTTTGGAAATGTTTTCAAAGATGATGATGAAAATACCACCCAGTTAATCCAGTTAAACTGAAATTATGTTGTGAAACTTACCCCCAAAAAGAACAAATCAACTTAAAATGCAACATTTTCCACATGCTAAATAGTGATGTAAACTATATAACACTGGTTTGCAAGTAAGTGCCATATCATGCAAGTCATCATACTATAATGATCTGAACTATGAAAATCTAATGCACCATGATGTCTCTGTAAATCTGAGAAAAATTGAAAATCCTTCAAATATGTTACTTTCAAAAGTCAAGTTACTAAATTTGATTTTTTATTGATGAGGCAATGTATGCCAGTGTGGTATTAGTATATAAGGGCAAAGATGAAGATGGATTTTATCACAGAGCTGTGGATGACCCAGAGTTAAGTTCTGCAGCATATGGAGCATACATGTATGGAAAAGATTGCTTATGCTTGTGCAATGCTTCATGAAGTATTAGTGTTGGAATTTTGAAGGATATCCTTTTTGGGAGTGATGCTTAGACTATATTTCTCAACCTCAACTGTATGCTAGAAGCAGGAATTACAAGAAAATGTATATTTGGAAGAAAATAATTCTTATTTGGGGAGTAATGGTCTCATTTCTATCCAGTCATCCACATAAATCCACTCCTGCACCACATGTAGAATCTCTCCTGCTTGATTTTCACAACTCAGTCTTATTGAAAAAGTTATCTCACATTGTGTGGATGCTGTTTTGATTAGTTACCACAAACAAGGGTGAATTGGGTCCCTGTGCTGTCTAAAAATGGGAAAGGATAAGACCTCAATAAAGACATCACCCAAACAAAAACTCCCTGGGAATTCAAAAGAGTGATCTTGTGGCTGCCATTATCACCCTTTCCAAAGCTGGGGTTGGGACCACAGTATTCAAACATTCCAGACCAGATTCACCAGTGACTCCTTCACCCCCAACAACACTGCTGCATGAAAAATCTACCCAAACTCTAAAGGGTGCTTAAGGGATGGGGGAACTTCAAAATTTACCTCTTTTGCTTTTTTAGAATGGCATCTACACGCCAAAAACATGAAAGATGAAACCACAGATGAACCAGAAACGACCTCCAGATTTCAGATTTAGGACCTTATCACACTGTCTTATATAGCTTCTCTAAAACCCTTTGCCTATGTAGGTTCCATCACGTGACGCAGGGCCCATTTCATCGGTAAACTATAGGAATTTCTACCAGTACCTTTTGTAAAACAGGAAAGTATATACTTCATTTGTCTTTTATTTTTCCACCCATGGCATAGACAGTTTTTTGTGTGTGATCATACACCCATCTGCACATCATCCCCTATGGCAGTGACCTCTCTTTCGATGTGTGTTTTGGGGACACCACTCAATTCTTCTTTGCCGAAACAGCTGGCCAGCAGTATACTTCAGGTGATAATTAGAGAAAGACCATAAGAAAGACCAAATGTTTTCCACTTCCCTTTGTTTCCTTTTTTATTTTATTTTTTAAAATTTCAAAATTGTTCATTTCTGTAGGAATCAAAAAAAGTTTTAACATTTCTACATTGGAACAAAACAACAGAGTTGCAGAAGATCAGCCACAAATATTTTTTTGGAGACTGGGAAGACAGTGACACAGAGGAACATCAGACAAATTGAGAAGAGTCATTGCTCAACCATGTGACAAGTCAAAGGTGCATTGTTTTGTTGCATATGGAAAGGAGAAAAGTGGTGTGATGGAATGGGTATGTGTACCCATGTATCCAGTCCTCATGTAGTCTTCTTAAACTGTGATTGCCTATTTAAAAGGTAACTTGACTGAGCTTAAAAAGGCAAGACAAAAATTCTTTCCATTCTAGGGCCATTATATACTGCACATCTCTTAGGCTTTTAAAATGTGTGCTTAAAGCAGCCTATTTTATTCTGAAGGAAAGGTACTACCATTTAGAACTGATGTTGATGGAATTCTCAATGTAATTTCCTGCTGAAAACCCCTTCCTGAAGATGGGGGAAATAGCAATCACGGGATCATTTTTCAAAAGAGCACAACAGCTGCATTTTCTTTAAAGAGGAACATTTAAGCATTTTTTAAAATTTTCAAAACTGAGAATAATGTACCGTAAGTAACAAGGCATTCATACTCTATAGGAATTTACGAATGAAAACCAGGACATGTGTGACCAAACAACATCAGAGTGTGATCAAAATGGCAAAAGTTATGAACGCGGGAGAACACAAGCTAGGAAAGACTGTAGCACTTTGGTTTTGCCTGAGCCTCTGGGTCCCCTTCCACACAACTGAATAAAATCACACATCTTATTTGAACTAGAATATATGGCAGTGTGGACTCAGATAACCCAGGGCCCATCCAGACAGTACCTTTATCCCAGGAACTTTCACAGTAAACAGGAGGGTGGCCAGATGCCATTCCCTGTAAATGCAGAAGTAATTGCTACAAAAGGCAAAAAAAACCTTGAGATTTCCAGGTGTGGGAATATTGCGGTTTTGAGATGGTTGTTCCTAGTTGGTCAGTTCCTAAAAAGAAGGTGAGAGTTGAGTAGAACGAAAAACTTTGTTTGTGTGCCAGAAACTTCATGAAATATGTGGAGGGCATAGTTTTTCTCGCCAGGACAAAGTTGTGGCCCCCTAGTCAATGTTGGACATCTTTTCACAATAAAAGCAATCAGGAACAGATATGTGTAACCCAGGAACAACACCCTGTCTGCACAGATGGCCCCGCAGTTTATATAACCCAGGAGCTGAACTTATACAATGATTTAGATCTTCAAATATTTGCATCTTGATTTTTTTTTAAAAAAAAAAAAGGACATCTTGGGTGCCACTAAATCTTGCAAGAAAGCATCAAGTCTGGACAATGGAGGCAGAAATTCCAGGACCAACAGATCTGTATGTGGACCTCTTCTGAAGTCCCAGAAATTTTTGCCCCTGTTTAAAAAACCGTGATTCAGTGCTTTCTTGAAGCATCCCCAGTTCAAAGGAGATATTGTAGGATTTTCTGCCTTAATATTTTGAACTGGATTATATGTTTGTGTGAAAAGGCCCTGGGAAAGGTGAGATTCTGCCCCCTCTTCTCTCTTCTCCCCACTGAGTTAACTGAGGCCCCTTCTATACTGCCATATAATCCAGTTCAAAACAGATAATCTGGATTTTAATGACAGCATAGAAAGGGCTTGTGTGCAAACTATTTTTGAACTTTGACCTCAGTTTGAAACAACTGAAGCAAGCCAAGGGCAAAGAGGGAAAGTGGAGGAAGAGAGAGAGAGGTGGGGGATTTGTAAAAGCTGCTGAATAAGTGGGTTGATAGAGGATCAGTCATTGGGACTGTCCCTCCCAAATCAGGGCAGGTGAAGGGTAGGAGACATTTGGACTTCAGATTGTATTGTTCATCATGAGGAAGAGGAAGGAAAGCTCTATTTAGAAAGTCTCTGTCATTTTGGGGCAAGCCACAGGAGGGCACCCTAAGCTTTTATACAGTGCATCTTTCGATTCCTGTTAAAAACAAAGATCCTTCAATATTTAGAGATAGTCAATTTTATTCAATGAGTCAGAGTTGTGAGAAAGGAAAAAGAGACACTGTTTACATTTCTATTAGCATAATAGCATCTCTGCCCAGGAGACAATGACTAAAAGCATCAACAACAGTGAAAGGCCTTTGGGGGAAAAATAACATTGTGTTCTGATGTAAAACTACTACAGATCTGTTAGAGAAGGATTTAATACAGATATCACAGCGTATTTTATAACATGTACATGAATGCATGCAATGAGTAACATTGGCATAAATACATTTGTCATCTCTAACTAGAGAAGGCCCACTGAAATAAACTGGAATCATTATGTTGCCCCTTATGGAAGGCCCAATGTTTTCAATAGGAGTGGTTGAGTTAGAACACACAATTGACTCTGGCCCAAATTTTGGCAAAACCATTTCACTACCAAGCAATGACTAGCTGCACATGAAAAGCACCCTGCCACAGGTGGACACTGCACATCCATACTGAGTCCTATCGCTACAAAAGTATGGGATACCCATAGGTGCAACATGTATGGAGGAAAACTTACCACCTGGAGCTGCACCTATGTTGGGTACAATTATGTCTCCTAATTGATATTTGGGAGAGTTAGCTTTCATGTATGTTCTATGGGAGTGCATGATGTAGCATAGTATGGAACAGACCATTGCATGTGGGCCAAAGGGAATTTCCCTGCTTATACTCCCCTCTGAAAAGGGGAGGAGATTGGGGAGGGGGGAGAGAGAGTATATGCCAAATATTTCTATCCCCCCCCAAAAAAAAATTGTTGTAAGAAAAGACATTGTGTCAGATCCAGAGACCCTTTCAAGAGGAACCATATAAGGAAACAGGGGCATTCAGACGTGAATACCTAAGAGCAGGGCATATGGAGGTAGCAGAGATTTGTTGTAAGTTGGGAGTATTTTTGCACATTTTCATGTGCTTTGAGGGACTTTCTGTGAACATAAATTTTGAGAACATAAATTGCCTGAAAATCACACCCTTTTTGTAAAAAAAAAGTGTTAGGCTTTGAAGAACTGGTGAACTGCTTCCGACTCATAGAGGTGGGATCCAGGGACCATGCAATATTCAGTAAATAGCAAGGCAATAAGTATTGCTTTACTTGCTTGCTGAGAAAGGCTTGCGGAGAGCCCATTTACACAGCACCTAAAACACAGGATTTTCTAAGTTAAAAGAGAGGTGACTACATGATACTAGCAATAAATCCATGCTGATTCGCAGCAACGGACAAAAAACAAAGGGTAAAAGGTCCCCTTTTATCCCGATTCTGGCCAGAAAGTATGCATATTTGCATCGTTGTATATCCCTGCACTCACAAAAAACATGTGATTTCCTTCCCTGTCCCTTGTGGAGACTGCTCCAGCACATGTCCACTTTTTAAAAACCTGAAACAGCTGATCAGCTGATTGGGCAGTGAAACAGACACACGGCAGATTTAAAGGAAGCTTGAATGGAGAGTAATTAGAACTCTCGGAAACTCTTTATTTTATTAATATTAATATTAAACAGAGCTTGAATAAACAATTGGAGAAGAGATAAATCCGGTGGAAGTTATTTTTTAAAATTCCCTCCGTTGTGTGCTAAACCTCATATATGCACATGCAAATCTGCTTGTATTTATATTACGATATACACATGTGCATATATAGGGTCCAGTACATAACAAAGTGATTTTTTAAATAAAAAGAAGCTTCTGTCAGTTGTCTCCCATCCGCCCTCCATCTTGTTCCCATACAGAGGAAGCAGGGGAAGAAATTCCAGGACCCACAGGTCTGTGTGGGAACATGTTCTCAGGTCCCTCGTTTTTGTTTGCTTGTTTGTTTGTTTTGTCCTCCATTTAAAACCTGCATTTTTGTGCTGTCTGGACGTGCCCTCTCTTACCTTCCAACAAATGCCTGTGGCTATTGAAGCTGACAACACCAGTGGCAACCTGTTTGGTAGCCATGTTCTTACAAACATGCATCCAAATGCACTACTGCACACAGGAATTTATGGATCACTCTTTGTGTAGAAGGAAAACAATGCTGAGTCTGGTAAAACACAACATAATCAATACTCAGAATTGGCTAAATGTAGAGAAAGGGAGTAGCACTGATTACAGTTTTACCCAAGGAAGTGATTGTTTAAGCTCTGGGGACATGTTCTGTCCAACAGTTAGCACACTGTGCTAAGTAAATGTTGAAAGGGCAATAACAGGAAGAGGGCATGGAATAAAAACTGTGCTTTCCCCTATTATTATCGCATTCCAGTGCTATGGAGCTAAAGCACAGATGGATGAATTGCAGCCCAATCCATTTCTGTAGAATCCTACCACACGCTAAATCCATTATTGTGTTAAAATAGTTTAATTCTTCTTTGAAACAAGGTCATGTCCCCTCCTGTGTACCTTGCTTTGTCTTAAAGGAGTGGTTCTTAAAGTTTGGTCCTCTAGATGTTTTTCAATTCCTAGAATTCCTAATTATTGACCAAGTCAGCTAGGACATTTGAAAGTGGACGTCAAAAAAACCCAGAGGACCAAAGTTTGGGAATTGCTGCTTTAAAGGGTTGAAAAAAGATGGGAGTTTTGAAATTAGAAGATGATGCCTACATATGCCTGGTTTGGGCAGGATGGTAATACAGTCCATGATAGTTCTAGGGGGTAGGAAACTGACCCATGGACTTTTCAAAGTTGACTGACTCTGATCTAAAGTATTGTGTGTGGTTTATGACAACATGTGTTCTAAATGTGTAGGTCAAATCTTAGCACCTTTGATGTCCACCTATGACATCACAAAATATCTGCACAGTGTTAATCTTCCAAGGGAATCCCCAGCACTAAAGCAGAAACAGTCAATGTAATGCAGCTGGCCAAGAACTGCATTATTATTATCATTATCATTATCATTATCATTATCATTATCATTATTATATTAGCCAACGTCTGACTCAAGGTTGATTCTTGGTGATAAACCATGAAAAAACACTATCCTCTTTAAGGATCTTCGGTGTATTTTTTGTTATTGAACCTTGCATTCATTAGAGGCTCAAATCCCTTCCTGTGCCTCCTATGCTGAAACAGGACGAGAAGTAGGACCAACACAACTAAAGCTATCAGAGATCCCCCGATGGTGGATCCAGCCATAAGTGCCCAAGCACGGGCCTCTCCAGATGGATCTAGAAAGACAGAAAAAGGGAGATCAGACTAGAAGTGTGTCACCATCCCAAGGTTATCCATTCATCTTCATAATCTTAAAAGAATTTCTCTCACACACACATCCATTCTAACTACTGGTTTTTTTTTGCCTCTCTATGCCACTCCAATAAGTCTGGCATTTTCTTTAAAGCATTTGTTCTAATGTTTCTTCAGACTTCTCCAAACAAGATGGCTGAGAACATGAATTTAAAAATTAAGACCTGTACTTTGGTTAATAATAATAATAATAATAATAATAATAATAATAATAATAATAATAATACTTTATTTATACCCCGCTTTATTTATATCCCATGGGACTCGGTGCGACTTACATGAGGCCGAGCCCACAATACAACAATACAAGCAATACAAACAACAACAATACAATACAAAGCAATTAAAATAAATATCATAACACAAAAAGCATAAACATTAAACAAAATACAGTGCACAATTAAAATCTATGGCTGGGCCAAGTGTAATTAAAGTTTAAAAATAATGCTAGGCATGAACAAGATACAGGAGGTAGGGCATTGATAGAGACATACAAGCAGTCCTAAATCGATATAAAGTGCTTTTTGGGGACATAATGCTAAAGGTTCGTTATTCTGGGAAGGCACACTGGAACATCCACGTTTTCAAGCTCCTGAGATTGCTGAGATTGCTTCAAACACTGTGAGTGGCACACAAAAAATACATATGCAAGGATTACAGGATTCCTTCCTTAAAGCATCTGTCTAAATTCAGATGTACTTCAGGTTGATTAAAATGAAGGTGTTTTCCAAATTCTACACAAGACCGACCCAATGTGAATGACTTCTAGATGTGTAGAACTAAAGTTCCCATCATCCCCAGGAAGCTGTACAGTATTGTAAACAGGGACACAGCCTCGCTACTTCTGTTTGGTTTACTTTCCTATGAATATTTCTGATCCTTATTAGGCCTTCTGAAGAGTAGTGTGTGTGTCTGTGTCATACAAGGCATGCACATTTGTGCTGAAAGAATGAGGACAAGTTAGTTTGCAGCTGTAGAACTAGAAGTGGGTGCAAGATGCTGATGGTAGTAAGTTCTGGGAGAAACCAGAGTCATTCTGATGAATATTACCTGGCAGTTCAATGGCATAGCTGTAGCCAAAATCTGCTGCAGGAAGGAACATTTCCTCATTGGTGATGGGAGGGAAGAAAGGCACCATGTTGAACATCTGGTTGTGACCAATAGGAGCTAACTCCTGAGGCCACGCAGAGTCAGCAGGGCGAAATCGTTTCATCCATTCGTCAAAAATGGCATCAGTAAAGGAATGGAGGACCTGGAAGTTCAATTTACAATGACATTAAATTCTAATTAAAATGGCTAGAAAAGTATGCTACTATCAGGTTGAGTATCTCTTATCTAGAATTATTGGACTAGAAGTGTCCTATATTTTGGATTTTGAGGGATTTTGAAATACAGGCAGTTCCCAAGTGACAAAGTATATTCTGTAAGTTTGTTCTTAAGTTGAATTTGTATGTATGTTGGAACAGGTACATTTTAAAGTGTAACACCAGCTCTGTGTATGTGAATGTGTGTGTGTATCGATATGTATATGTATGTATGTATATGTATGTGTGTGTGCAGGGAAGGGTTTACAACCTTGTGGAGTTTGCTTTGCTGTCTGTGACCCTCTTCAGAAGATTTCACACCACTTTCTGTCCCTGTGAGAACTGGATTTTGGAAAATTTAGCTTGATGTGGAAACAAGGATTGGTGAGAAAGAGTCAGCGCGGAGACATCTTTTTCCCATGATAACTCTTCCAGGAGTAAATTTCTCTTCTTAGGGGTAGATTTCTCTCGCTTCCTGTTGTCTCACCCCCATTCTTAACTATGAGTCATTTGTAAGTCAGATGTTTGTAACTCAGGGACTGACTGTACTTGTTTATACACAATGAGAAATATTGAAAAAGGGACTCAAGTCTAAACATGAAATTCATTCATGATTCATATAAATCTTCTACACTCAGCCTGAAGGTAATTTTTACAATATTTGCAATAATATTGTGCATGAACCACCAGTCGGCAAAGGTTACACGATCTCAGCCACCCATGTGGAGAAATTTGATTTTCAAATATTCTAGATAAGACATGCTCAACTTGTATTGGACAATAGCAATACAAGGCCAGAGATTATGTGTGGAAATTGATAAAAAAAATATTTTTCTTTGGGTATTAAGTCCCTTTTAGAACATGCCTTGAAAGAATCTCCCTGCAGTTCATCTTCCTTAAGGACTGTTACCAAATACTGTGAAGCTTTACCACAGCCGCTAGAGGGACTTCTACATACACTACATACACTTCTTTATGCTTCCAGAACACTGAATGCCAATTTTCGGAGTAAAATAGCATTGCAGGCTCATAAATCATTATTTTCTCCTCACCTGTAGGGGTTTTTCTTTTGGAGGGAGGGTTGACTCATGAAGAGAAAACTCTTGCAATGAGCATTCACAAAGATGTGAACATTTTCACATAATTTTCACATCGTAGTAATAAAAACAACATGGTCTTTGTTCTTTATCTCTTTATAAAATTAAAATCACATTTATCTTCATTTTGTATACAAATGATCTGACTGCATGATTGTTTTGCCTCATTGCTGTCTTTTAAATAGCTAAATGTAAAGGTTAATGAACACATCAAGCTGTTTTCTGATATTCACTTCTAATATCCCTCGGATTTTTTGGACCCCAATTCCCATCTCCATACAGTGTGGCCATTGTCACTCAGAATATTTGGAGAGCATCAGGTTGCTTAATCTTATAGGATTTATAATCTTATAAACCAATGGGATTTTAGACTAGTGTCTAGATCCAGGGAAGTCATGCTACCCCTCTATTTTGCCTTGGTCAGACCAGTTCTGGGCACTGCAATTGAAGAGAGATGTTGACAAGCTGGAATGTGTCCAGAGGAGGGCAACTAAAATGATCAAGAGTCTGGAGAACAAGCCCTATGAGGAGCGGCTTAAAAAGCTGAACTGTTTAGCCTGGAAAGAGAAGGCTGAGAGAAGGCATGATGAGGGTCATGTATAAATATGTGAAGGGAAGTCATAGGGAGGAGGGAGCAAGCTTGTTTTATGCTGCCCTGGAGACTAGGACGTTGAACAATGGCTTCAAACTACAAGAAAGGAGATTCCACCTGAACATTAGGAAGAACTTCCTAACCTTGAGAACTGTTCAGCGGTGGAACTCTCTGTCCCAGAGTGTGGTGGAGGCTCCTTCTTTTGAGCCTTTTAAACAGAGGCTGGATGGCCATCTGTTGGGGGTGCTGTGAATGTGGTTTTCCTGCTTCTTGGCAGGAGGTTGGGCTGGATGGCCCACGAGGTCTCTTCCAATTCTATGATTATATGATTCTGTGACAGTGTTTCCCAAATTCTGGTCTTCAAGGTACTTGGGGATGAATCTCTGATCATTGGCCAAGGTGCCAAGAACTCCTGGGATTTAAGGTCCCAGATACCTGGAAGACTAGAGTTTTGAAATCATTGCTGTAGAGCAGGCATCCTCAAACTGTGGGGGCCTGTTTGGGACTCTAACTCCCATAAACCTTAGCTGGCTTGTTCAAAGTTCAGGAATTGTACAGCAAGATGCTTGCTGTAAAGTCTCTGTAGTCCAGCCTTCACAGTTGAATAGCTTATTAACTTGACATCTCAAATAAGGAGCATGATCCCAAGTCACTGAATGCAAAATGTAGCTAAATACCAAGTTTGTGATGGCTCCCAAGGCTTCAGATACATATTGATGGATGGCTGTATCCATGTTGGTGGCCCAGTTGAAGGAGCTGAACCTATTCTGAGGCCAATCTATGGCAATTTAGATAATTCCTTTCAAATTTGGGCTAAAAGCTAGAGTGGATTCACTGTCATATGGCTACACCAAGACTCCTTCCCAGTTTTGAGATGCTTTTTAATTATTTAAGTAGTGGAGTTGGCATATAGGATGCTCTGAATGCAAAGTATTTGTTTTACCAGTACCATATCTGTCCCTTGATCATGTTAGCAGAAAAAGGGGATTAACCCAACAAAATATGCATCCGTTGATTTCTAAGTTCAATAACTTTATCTCTCAGGCTGCAGTTTTCAACATTCTTACTAATGAACACAGTGAAACTAAGGGCCCTTCCAGACATAGCTAAATCCCAGAAGGAACTGGGATAATAAATCCCAGATCCTCCCAGGATTTAGTTCCCACACCCAACTCAAACCCCTACATGCCCTCTTGGGTCAAACAGATATTAACCCAGGAGGGCATCCAGCCACCCCCAGCCCCCCCCCCCCCCCCCCCAAAACTTACCTGAGGGGCCTGCTGGTAGTGCAGGCCCCTCCGGAGAGCTCTCTTGCCATGCTAAAATAACACATCAGGAGGTGGGGGTAAGGAGTTTTGGAGGGGAAATGAGGGGCTGGGAGGGGAGGCTGGGGGCTCTTGGAGCTTGAAGAACTGGGATCACTGTGGGAATTGACTCTCTTCATTCTGCCACTTCCTTGCTCTGAAGCATAACCTATAGCACCTGGCAGTCATTGGCAGTTTTACATCCAAGTGCAAACCAAAACTGACACTGCTAAGCTTCTAAGATTAGATGAGATCTTGTGCCTTTAAGATTGCCTAGCATTAAAAAACCGTGTCTCCTGAACATAATTTTCATGCAAGTGCAGAATAAAATTTTTCCTAGACAAAGAAGTCTTGGTTTTTGTGGGGCAGCAGAAGTAGTAATTAATGGCAATAGGATTGGAGGATAAGATAGATTTAAATTGTACTTAGGCTATGCTGAGTGGGAACACTGAGAATATATTATTATATTATATTATGAAAAGAAGATATTATTTCCATTCACATTCCTGAAACTGAAATGGTGTTCCAATTGACAAAAGTTCCCATCTAGGTGTATTCATTCAAAACCTTATCAACTCAGCCTTCCCAATATGGTGTTGGACTGCAACACCCACGATGATTTCCCAGAACATCTGGAGAGCTGCCTTATGACCTCCGCAGGGCTTGCAATCAAGTAAATTGGGGGCTAAACCTGACAATAAGCTGGTTAAACTTTTGAAACTTCTTTCTCCACCTTTCCCCCATGCCACATGCCCCTGCACTGAGAATGGCTGAATCCTGTTGGATTCAGTGGAAGTCCATTATGGGATCATACCCTAGATCAGTGTTTCTCAAACTGTGTTCCTCCAGGTGTTTTGGACTCCCATGAATCTCAGCCAGTTTACCAGCTGTTAGGATTTGTGGGAGCTGAAGTCCAAAACATCTGGAGGAGCACAGTTTGAGAAACACTGCAATAAATGTAAAACTATGTACAGTACATGTTTTAAAAATGTAACTTGTACTGGTGTTTGTTCAAAAAGTAAGTTCAAGGGACCTAATCCTGCATCAGTCAAGAGTTAGCTCTGTCCTCCACAGCATTTCTGATCTAGATCAGATAAGGTACAAACTGTAATCTGTTTCTGGATATGTTAATTTGACCTACAGAGCCTTTGGCTATGATGACTGTTAACACCAGGTTGGAGACTCTGGTTGAAGGAAACCAAAGAAGAATAAGAACATACCACAAAGACAGGATCGTTCACTGCTGAGTGAGGGAGAGCACCCGTTCCATTCAGAACAGAGTGAACCAAGTTATGGAGACTCACGACTGGAATGTCCAAGGTCCCATCTGGTTTCTCAAAGCCTTCCAAAGCATTCCTGTGGCAGAAAACAAGAGAAGTAAAACATTACCACCTGACCTTAAATAAATGTCATAGTTAAGCAAAATGATCTGTTGCAAATAAAGAACAAACCTAAAACTAGAAGTAGAATTCCGAAAGAAAGGAGCCTTATCAAAATCTTGAAGAGAGAGACACTTCTGAACATCTTCCATGGTTGGTAGCTGATCACCAGGTTTGCTAAATGGGCTCCTCTGGAGAAGACCTTCATTGGTTCCATTACATAATTTCACACGGCGGTTATAATCATCCAAACTTAGGTTTCAAACAGAAATATAGACAGCAGTTAGATTAGATGTTTATGCCAAGTGTTGCTCTATTTGGTCATAACAGGACAAACTCAGATTGCAAACATAAATTGACAGATTAATTAACATACAATGAATTTAACTCTCAGAATTCACCAGCCACACATATATTTGTGAGAGAGTTTGGGTTTTGCCTACTTTTGACTGGTCCTGCCCATTTTTTGGTTCTCATTTCACCCATGACTGGCACAAAAGACTATCATGGTATTGTCCTCAGTCATGGAACAATCAACTTCAATAGGGAGTTTCTGATTCTGGTTGGGTTAAGGCCAGCCACAGCTCAAAAGTAAGAAATAATAGATTTTCTTGAGTGGGTAAAACTTAAAGCAAATGCTTTAAATCTCCTCCTTGTAATCATATCAGAGGTAGAGCAAGGAGACACAAGCTTGCTTCTACGCAAGACTTTTATCCCATCGTTGCCCTGCTATATTCACATAAATTTATAAGGCATCCAGAAATTATCTCCTATTCATAGTGATTCTTCCCACTTCTTTTTTCCATTAAGGAAAAAAGTAAGTATAGTTGAGCAAAACTCTCTGATTTCTGGAAATATGAATCCTTCATCTGGAATTATCCCACTTTTTTATCACATAACCTTAAACTATAGTGTGGCTTTAAATCCAAACCAAATCTCAAGCTGCCTATTCTTTACTGAACTGGACATTATCCTATTTTTCCACCAATATTTTTTAATGGCACCTAATTTGGGATTTTGATACAACATACAACGTTTATATGCAGGTAATAAACATTATTAAGTTGTTACAAGACAGATAAGACTAACAATGAAATAAATAGATTAAAAGATGGCCACACATCTTAACATTATAATGTTGTTAAACTTCTGTTACCTGTTGCATACTATCTCCCATTGTGAAAACCTTGAATTTTGACTTATGAGGCTTGGGTTGTCTGTTCTTGATGCTCCAAAAAGTTGGTCAGTGCACACGTCACACTCGTTTCTGCCCGTTGCAAAATTCCAATAAGGCAATGCAAAGGACTCATTGCCAATCATCCGCTAAATGCCATGGGTTGGAGGAGAGAGATGGAGGATAGCTTAAGCGTGTTTGTGTTGGAAGAGTTGCTGTTTTGTGGGGAGAGGCTAGCAAGGATGGGTAAATCAATACATGTTTTACAGTATGCAACCTGAGAACACACAGACATATAAAAGCACACACTGGTCACCTTAAATATTGAATATATTAAATACCATAATGCAGTGTTTTCCAAAGTGGGAAATATTGCCCCTGGAAGGCACTGGAATGATCCAGGGGGTAGTATTAGTCTGGGGTGCAACTGGGGATATTGAATGAAAATAGGGGGGCATCAAAACAAGAGAAAGACTAAACTTTTGAAAAACTGTTCATACATGTGTCATCTGTTGCGTAACAGAGTTAACGTCGTAGCGGTTATTTTCCAAATGAACATACAAAATGCAAGTTGTAACCAATCAGTAGCCAAGCCCACCTGACAAGCAAGTGTTGGCAGGCGAGCATGTCATGCATTGTCAGGAAGTCAGGCATGCATTGGCAGGAATATGTGGGTGTAATGACTTGTTTACAATACAGTATTATAAATAGGTGACTTGTTGGAAATTTAATTTAGATTGTTTTTGAACAGTGTGACTAAATTTTAATTCATGCTGCTGACAAAAATACAGCTAAACATTATTAAATTGATAGCAGCACACCAGTGATCCTTCTTATTTAGGCATATTTTTAATGTTATTTGTAATTTTCATTGTAATATTATCCTTTGTTATCTCAATTTTCTGTGTATAGTTGATTTTCATAAATAATTTTATAATTTCAAGCTTCAAGATGTATTGCTTACAACAACATCTTAGGCCCCTTCCACACAGCTGAAAAAAAATTCCACATTTTCTGCTTTGAACTGGAATATATGGCAGTGTGGACTCAGATAACCCAGTTCAAAGCAGATACTGTGGGATTTTCGGCCTTGATATTCTGGGTTATATGGCTGTGTGGAAGGGCCCTTACTTAACTATGTTGTAGGATTTAGGTATAAATCTAAAGACATAAAAGAATGCAAATTTGCCACAGTGTTTTTCTGTTCGTTCACTTAAAGAAGGTACATTTCCAGAGGAACACCAAATATTTTTTTCCTGAAAAGGGGATGCTAGGTCAAATAAGTTTTGGAACCTCTGTCATAATGCAAAGGGATTCGTGGTAATACAAAAGCTGTGATCAAACAATACTGTTGTCATTGCCTTTAAGCTCCAACAGCATATTCACAATAGAGTTGCCAACTCTTCAGTTATGAAATGCCACTTGATTGTACCAAGGTGTATGCCCTCAGCCCAGTGGTTCACAACCTATGGGTCCCCTGGTGTTTTGGCCTATAACTCCCAGAAATCCCAGACAGTTTACCAGCTGTTAGGATTTCTGGGAGTTGAAGGCCAAAACATCTGGAGATCTGCAGGTTGAGAACCACTGCCTCAGCCAATGAGCATCCAGGGGCCACTTGGCTACTACTTGGCTGCAGTCAATTCCTGGATCCTCTGGCTGCTTACTGGGAAGGTGCCTTATGCAACAAGGCAGTGAATACCTCCTTCCACAATGCTCCTCCAGTTACATCTTCATATAAAAACTGCTGCCAACAACTTACTTTTTCAAAGTAATGTTTTAGGCTTGGAGAATTTTGGGTAAAAAATCATCCAAAAGTGAAACAGTTTTCTCCATTCCTACATTGCTTCCAGCTGCTTCTAAAATCCTGGAATTGCTGGTTTTGTTAGGGAAGAGGCAGGAAAGAATGTAAAATGATTTGAGAACAAAGCCTACTTCCTTTGAATAAAAGGATTTTTAAAACAAAACGGAACTTTGTGAGACTCCAGAAAAGTAAATGATTAATTCAGGGATAGATAGAAGGTTATAAAAGTTATTGATTGTGTAGAAGAGTTGTTTAGAGAAAAAGCATTATCACCCATGCATGCACACACCCCTTACCTGTCCATACACAAGCATGAGGATGTTCTGAAAACAAATCCCTTAGTTATGTTCTTAAAACCCCACTAGTTTGCCTCCCTTCTTACTTCAATTGGGTGGACCTTGGCATCAGGATATCTGTTGAGCTGTCCACTGTAGATTACTATGCTGAGAATCCTTCCCTTCTCGTGGTGTTGTGAAGTATACTAGCTGTAACAGTCATATCTTCCAAACACATAGAAATACACATTTTACTAACCTGCAAGTCTCTTTCCAGTAGCAGCAAGTGATACCTGTGCCAAGAAACAAAGGCAGGTCCTTGATGGGAGAAATCTATTGCTGTGAAAGGACGGCCTGGTCCTGCAGACAGAACAGCAGAGTCATTCAAATCAGAAAGTGTAGATTTATACATGCCTATTGGAAATAACTAAATGCAACATTGACAACATTAGAATTGAGTGGAATAAAGAGTTAAGAGTATCCTGTAGAAATCAAGCAACTGAAGGCTGCTCTACCTTCAATATATAAAATGTATTTAGATTAAAAATTGGGTTTAGTTCAGCAAAAATTGCTGTTATTGAATAAACACACTTGTATATCTTTAAGAAGAAATTGTTTAATTGAACTAAATGTTGACAATGCAATGAGTTGTGGAGAAACTTTAAGAAGGACATGAAGGTCCAACACCAAAAGGTTTAAGGTGATAGAAGCCCTTTCATGCTGCACAGTTATAGCACAACAGTTCCACTTTAATTGCCGTAACAACATATTGTGGAATCCAAGAGTTTATCATTTGGTAAGAGGCACAAGAGTTCTCTGGCTGAGAATATGAAAGGCCTGCACTTCAAATCTCACGAAAGTTACCATCCAGTTAAAGTGGAATATAACACTATAACTGTGTATCATGAATTGACATAGGCATGATAATAATCCCTGCTATTCTTCACTAGTATGGTGTTGCAGCTTGAAGGTTACACTACAGCTGTGAAGACCAGGGTTCTTCATGGAGACACACTGGGTTACCTTGGGCTAGTCAAACATTCCCAGCTTCAGAAAACTCCTTAGGGTCAGAAATTACTTAAAGACACACAACAACAAATTCTTCACAGTTGTCCTTGCATATACATATATAGCTTCAGCACAAATTTATGACCCTATGCATGTATGAATGGAAAGGGGGGCTCCAAGCAGAGGCATCATGGGGACCAGAGGAAGAGGGTCCAATAAGAGGAGCCTATTCAATCCCATCCTTCAAAAATTTGATTCCAAACCTGTAGAAGACTCTCAATCTGACACACAACCTTATGTGTGTTGGGTGCTACACTGCATAAATCCGATAGGCCTTACATCAGTAGTGCAGAACACACAGCTCTCCCAAGATTATTAGACTCCAATGTCAATCATCTTTATCCATCTTACCCATGGTGAAGGGTGAGGGGAGAAGCAGCACGATTATCTAAAGAGCCACATGTTCCCCACTCCCACCTTATAGCAACAATTCTTCCCATTTGGTAATATACTGTTATCTCTAGTTTATTACAGTATAAAAATACATTCTGAAAGCCATGTATCACTTTCTGGAAATTAGCATTACTTTCTGGCCCTGGATGTGATCTGCCAAACTGGATGCAGGTTATGCAAGCTGATCTGTAGCAAAGTATGCCTCTCTGTCTCTCTCTTCATCACACTAGAGAAGGTCTCTCTCTCTCTCTCTCTCTCTCATCTATCTGTCTTTTGTCCATCCTTGCTCCTGAGTCTTTAATGGCGTCTTCCCAGCTTGAACATGTGAGAACAAGTTTTCATATTAGACACATTTCATCCACTGGTCTGAATGTTCCATTTAATATTTTTTATCTTTTCTGTTGTCAAATCTCATTCCCTTGGATAAGTGGATTTGTTTCACCTTTTACCCAACTCTCTAGAATGGAAAACACCAACCTAAGAGTGTGTCTCGGACAGAGTAATAGTGAAGCCACACATAGAAATTATAAATGCTGCAATTTGCAACTTGTGGGTCATTTCCAGTAGGACCAAGCAGACTCAACCAGTGCTCAGTAGCAATCACATAATCTGGATGGACAGTTGTCTTGGCCTGGTTTAGAGTATCCAAGAATTGTTCTCGCTCTTCCTCAGTCAAAGCATGGATATTCTTCCGGACAACCAAGGGCTTCTTTTCATCACAGTTAGGCCCCTTCCAGCCAAATTTGCAGTCTCCACAGTTATAGCCAGCAAAATTTCCTGCATTAGAAAAGAATGTAAGTTATGCCTCAGCATATATATATATATATATATATATATATATATATATATATGAATAAGCAAACAAAATAATGCAGAAAAAATGTCCACCAAATGTTTGCCATTTGGACATGATGAAGGTGCTACTACAATATCACTGTGATGCCATGAATTGCCAGAGCTGTCCCAAGACATTTTTCTATCTGAAGAGAAGGAAAGAAATGGTGCCTGACACATTCACTTCCAACATTTCACTTCAACATCAGACTGGCAGCTGCTTCTTAATTTAACAGTTTAACAGTAGTGGGACTGCATCAGAGCTTTTTACAGCACAACTCCCAGAAAACCCCAGCCAGATCTCCACAGTATCTTCAACCACCACTTCTGAAGTTAATTGAGGATTTTAAGAGGATGCACACCTCTGTGTTCCAACAATGCCAGGGCTCCCACATCTCATGGCCTGCCTGGCCTGTTTCCTAATGGAACATTATCTGGAATATGACATCAGATCAGATCATTTGATGTGTGATCTTGGATATTAGTACTATAATGAGCAAGTTTGTTACATTTAAAACCTATGAAATATAGTCTTTAGTAAGAGACAGAAGTAATGAGAAATGCATTGTTCATCTTCATCTTTGCCATAAATATAAGACTGAACCAGCAAGGAACACTCTGTCACTACTGCGCAACCATCTTCCATTGCCCTGTTCTCCCTGTCTTAGAATCATAGAGTTGGACGAGACCACATTGGCCATCTGATACAGTATGACTCCCTGCCATGCATGAAAGCACAATTATCCCTGACAGATGGCATCCAGCCTCTATTTAAAAGCCTCCAAGGAAGGAGCCTCCACCACACTCAGAGGCAGAGAGTTCCACTACTCAGCAGCTTTTGCAGTCAGGATGTTCTTCCTAACGTTCAGGATGAATCTTCTTTCTGTATTTTGAGTATTACTCTCCCTGTCTTGCCTCATTCAGCCATAGAATCTTCTGGAGAAAGCTTTCCTTCCACCCCACTATTGTCTTAGGCTTGTCGAGTGAGGCTACAGATGAGAGGTTTCTTGGTAGCTCTAACTTCTTTCTCAAATGAGCTCAACTGGTCTCCTTCCTCACTTTTTTCATCAGTAGATCAAGATCTTCTGATTTCAACAGGCCTTCAACTCTGAACTGGTTGGGATAGAAAGATATACAAGGGCTGTGCTGTTTTAATATGTAGTAAGTGCTTTATGGGGTTTTCATTGTTTTCATTGTTTTAAAATAATGTCTTAAGGTAATGTTTTAATTGAATTGATTATTTATTTATTTTTTTAAAAAATTACCACACATTGTTATAGCTATTTTATTTTAACTTGCGTCATATGCGACTGTGTGCCACATTTTGGGAGAAAAGTGGGGTATACAGTACAACCACTGTATCTGAAGTGGATATGTTCCTGGACTTCGAGTGGATATGTGAAACAACAAATAATAAATAATGAATTCAATTATTATCAGTGGGATGAATGATGGAGATATTGATAAGAGGGTATAACTTTTACAACAGGCATGGGCAAACTTTGGCCCTCCAGGTGTTTTGGACTTCAACTCCCACAATTCCTAACAGCCTCAGGTCCCTTCCACTTAAGCATCTGAGGAGGGAAAGTAAAGGGCCTGAGGCTGTTAGGAATTGTGGGAGTTGAAGTCCAAAATACCTAGGTGGCTGAAGTTTGCCCATACCTGTTTTACAAGATGCCCTAAATGAAAAAGTGGATAAGTAAAATCATGTATATTGGTTCTGGGGATATAGGGGTTCATGTTCTTTCTGAGAGTTGCCAGAGGCATCTGGTTAGCCAGTATGGGTAACCAGACTAAACAGGACTTTGACACAGAGATTGGAATGCTACTTTTGGGGGGGGGGGGTACAGTTCCCAGAATCCCTCATTAAACATGGTCAAGTAGGAGAAACTGAAGACTGTAATTCCCCCCATAATATCTTTCCCGAGTGCTTCTTTGGTCTTATCCAGTAATGGTTTCTTATGTTATATCCTTATAACGAGATAAGACTGTTTATAAGTGAATCTCATGAGATTGTCAAACAACACAGAGCCAGCTTTGTCAACACATTTTAATCTCAGAGTAAAATCGCTTATCTTTACAGTCAGTCTTTTGTATGCACAGATTCTGCATCCTCAGATTCAGTCATGACTGCTTGAAAATGTTCCAAAACAAACTCCAAAAGCAAACTTTGATGTTGCCATAAAGGACATTTTACTACACCACAGGATATGATGGGACATGAGTATCCATAGATTTTGGTATCTATGGTGAATCTTGGAACCAAACCCCAGCAGATACCAAGAGCTACTATATTGCTTATAATGCATGTATCACTTATAACAAGGAGCCCCCACTAGTGCAGTGGATTAAATCCTTGTGCCATCAGGACCAAAGACTGACAGGACGGAGGTTCAAATCCAAGGAGAGCACAGATGAGCTCTGTCAGCTCTGGCTCCTCGTGCGGGGACATGAAAGAAGCCTCCCACAAGGATGGTAAAACATCAAAACATCCGGCCATCTCCTGGGCAACATCCTTGCAGATGGCCAATTCTCTCACACCAGAAGCAACTTGCAGTTTCTCAAGGCGCTCCTGACACACATACAAAAAGCTTATAAAAAGTAATATAAGAGACAAATAATATAAGAATTAAGGAGGGCAAACTATCTATAAGAGGAAAAAATGTGCTTAGATCAACATTTCACTAGCATACAAGGGAACTTATTGCTTGCACAAAAGAGGCATTATATAGAATAAGCCTTCCAAGAGAAATAATGTGAGATAATTGCTTGTAATTGCATTCATGACCTCTGCCCCAAATCAGTTGACTCGCCGCAATGTATTCAAACAATAATCCCTTACAATAAGTATTAAGAGAGGAAATCAAGGGTAGGTCACACTTTCATATTTAATTACCCAAGTATTATAGTAGTAAGTGAACTGGGCAATGTCCAAGACACACAGTACAATTGTGCACTGATTCTGTTGCCACATAACATACATTTCATTGTAACTACATTACAGTTCCCATTCATTCCTCAAGCCAGTTAAGCTGGAGTCCTCTTTAAAATGAACCTGCAGTGTTTGTAAGCTCCTACATCCCAATGTAGTTGCTGTCTTCTTGTACTTTTCAGGCTCCCAGACATTGATATTCTGGTCAGGAGGGAAGTAGGGTAAAGAGATAAGAATGTATGTTAAGCTCCTACAGGTCCACAAATAGTTTGCTGCCAAAAATCCTGTGCAACATATAGAAGACATCTGGGATCTTGCTTGAACACTCATGACTGAGCACCACACCAACCTCCACCACTGTAGAGAATGGGGGATCAGCCATGTATCTCACAGTGATGTTGCCATTGATGGGCAGTGATACTAGTCCTACCATTGACATCCAGTACTTGAGGCCTTCATAATAGAAGGGCCCTCTGGGTTGCTATATATGGTTGATGGGCCCCAAGCTATATAGGATTACTTTAAATGAGTGGGTATAGATGTTATCTCACCAGTGGTATTATCTTTCCACAGTGGTGGGATTTCATGCTGCTGTAGGCAAGAGACTATGAGGATCCTCTATGCCAGAAAGAGTTCTGCTAACAATGTGCCAAACTGCTACAGGATAGGAACAGTAGCGGTGGGTATGGGAGTGGGTATACGTGCATGCAGGATGACACTGCTGAAGAATCTCTCAGAGACAACAACAGGGTCACCAAATCTAGCACTGGTAATTACTGCACAGACTGAGACGTGATAAGCCCACTTTGAATGTCTTTAACCACGCAAACCCTATGATGAGACAATCCAAAATGCAATAAGAGATAGTGCCAGAAGATAAAACTCCCAGGTCACATGGCACTTAGCAAATTACTGGGAGATAGGGAGAGGACAACTACAGATAGTATTGTGGCTAATGATGCAACTGAACACAAGCCCAAAAGAATTTCAGGCATTGACATGTATAGAGGTGCAAAGAAAGTCTGCAGCTGCACAACACATATTTAGGGAACATGAAATATAAGAGGCGTGAATCAGGAGAAGCTAGACATAGTAAACAAGAAATGGCACATCTAAACATTACAGTACTCAGGGTAATTGAGCTAAAGTGGACTGGAATGAGGCACTTTGAGCCAGATAATTACACAGGCAATGAAAACTTAAGAAGAAATTGGGTGACATTAACAGTGTAGAGAGATATATCAAAAGCAGTCAAAGGGTGCCCTGCTGGGCTTTAGATTAAATAAATAAATAAATAAATGCTGCAGTGGAGCGCCTGCTGAGACATCTGAAATATCCAGTCAGGCCAGCTGAGTAAGCCTTTGGCATCTGGTGGGATTTGGTTTCAGGAAAAATCCATGGATACTCATCCCATTACATCCACTGGCAAAGTAAAATTGACAAAATCAAAATCTGCTTTTTAAAATCTTTGGGTGGGGGGACACTTTCAAGCCATGAATAGGTGAATCCATGGGCCCTTCCACACAGCCCTTTATCCCAGAATATCAAGGCAGAAAATCCCACCATCTGAGTGTGGGTTCAAATAACCCAGCTCAAAGCAGATATTGTGGGATTTTGTGCCTTGATATTCTGGGAAATAGGGCTATGTAGAAGGGCCTCTTGTCTACAGAAGGATGAGTGTTCTGATGCTAAGCTTAAAGCTGCATTCAGTATGCAGTGCACCTGAACATTCCCCAAATGCTGATGTTCCTAGTTGTTCCAATTCCAGACACACCCTCCCCATTTCTCCCCTCCTTATCACACTAAATGGCTCTCCCATTTAACCAACCCCATCCATCTTTGCTATGGGGAGCAATGGGGGTGTATCTACTAAGAGGCCCCTAGGGCAGCAAGTCTCCAGGGGTGCATCCAGACAGCACCTAAAGTTGCACACCCTCTTGTGTTTTCCCCTGAGGTGTCCAGACAACGTCTCAAGGAAAAATTAATTATTTTTTGCACAAAGCAAGAAAACCCTGTTTTGTGGCGAATGAATTTGATATTGGAAAGATTCTGGTCTTCCTGAAAGATCTGGGCCAAATCCAGCATGGTGAGTGTCTGGACAGCTTCCTTGGAAGCTGAGGGGGCTATCTGCACAGCCCTCTCACATTTGAATCAGCCTGGAAAAAATGAGACGGCTCTAACCACCTCCACAAAACCCCTCAAAAACTGGGTGGGGGGAGTAAAATAACTTACTCGACCACCATTAAAGTGCTGCTGGCCCCCTCCTGGCATGTAGGAATGATTCACCAGGAGAAAGGGGAGAAGGAGGAAAATCACTCTTGCCCCCCCCCCCCTTCTACTGGTGCATAATTCCTATGTGCCAGGAGAGGACCGGCAACACTTTAATGGCAGCCAGGTAAGCTTTTTTACCCCACCCCCCATTTTAAGGGGTTTTGGAGATGGGTGTGAGTGTCTCCCTGTCCTCCAGAAGGTTCTAGGAGGGCATGTGGACACCCCACCTCAGAAAAGCAGCTACTTTCTGGGATGTGTGTGGACTAGAATCCAAACAGAATCACGTTTTTAAAATGCAATTACTCCCGGGTTAAAGGGTTGTGTGGAACCACCCATAGTCTCTTCCCAGCTTTCAGTCAGCCAAGGAACAAAGTAGAAAACAAAGCAGGAATGCTTTCCCCAAATCTCTTCCCTTCATGCATAGCCAGGAACCTCTTTCCTGCTTGGCCCTAAGCCACCACTCTAGCCAAGAGGTGCCTACATGGCTGGCTGATCAACTCATGGTCATCCATCAGTGGCCTCCACCCAGCATGCAGGACTGCTGCTCTTAAACTGAACTCCCACCCCTGTGCAACTGCATTCCTAGCAATCATCTTTCATTCAAAGAGAACTGAAGTCTATTTAGTTTTTCCATAGAATTTTTCACAACTCAGAAAAAGTGGGTTGCATATAATATCACCTTGATTTGGATCAAATCTTGGAGCAGACCACTGAAATCAATTGAGCTTTATGTCTAAAGCTGAGTTCAGCCCATTACAGTGTCTTTTTATTTTTCCAAATAGTTGATAAGATTCATGAAATAATAAATGTAGACATGAAGGAAAGTAAACTCACAGTCATCTGTTCTAAATATAAGGATTGGAACTGCCTGAAACAGATACCTAGCAAAGTTCTGAAAATCCTATGTTAAATATATTGAAACACAAATCTGAAAACATTGATTTAAAAATGTACACCTGCAGTCCTTTCCTTATTGCTTCTCTAGCATTTTCAGACCATGGGACAGAGAGTGGGAGCGAAGTTGCAGAACTAACAGCCATTAATCTTCAACAGAAAAAGTCGGGATCCTAATGTGATCAGACATACAGGTAGAGCAACAGTAAGAGTGCATTTGCATTTTAGATAAATAAAAGTTAGCAGAACGAACGGTGCTTTATAGCATATTATAGAAATTGGAAGAGTGAGTTTTGGTGTACAATTCTCAGAATCCCAAATTATCTGATGCTGCCTCAGGGATTCTGGGGGTGACAGTGCAAAGAATTAATCTTCCCAAGCTGTGGTTCTTATGCACGTTTCCCAGAACTAAAGATTGGAGAGACACAGCCTCCTCTTCCTCCCACCCCACCCCCCTCTTCTCACCTGTGCACTGGCAACTTCTATTGAAGAACTTCAGTGGCCATCGTTCCCGGTCATCCACATTGCGGAGAGTGTAGGGGCCACTCCAGGGTTTTGTGTCCACCTGCACCTCTTTACAATCACCCCTACCTTGCTTTGAACCACACACGTTGTCAGGATCAGACCCCAAGACTGGGCAGCACTGCTTGGACTGAAGCATCTCCACTGTCATACAAGCCCGAGGGAATTGCGCTTCAGCTTTGGGAGGCCAAAGAAGGTTCAGGCAACCTAAGAACAAACCGCACAGCAACCATGGCCTCTCCAAGTGCAGCAGGAAAGCCATGGGCGTCAGGGGACAGAGATTGTATGAATCTAACGATTCAGCTGATGTAGCTCTCTGCCTATTTGTGGCAGGGAAGAAAGATTTTTATGAATAGCCTCTGAGCTGAACAAGTGAGCCAGCTTATACCTGACCAAATGAGAGATTGCTTTTTTCCTGACATGCACCGCCTACTGAGTTTGAATTTGGGGTGTTTGCTTAATCCTTGGCGAGAATGTGGAGCGCAGGCAGACAGTTGAGCTCTTTGTGTTCCAAGAAGCCATAGCTGAGGGGCTTTATTTTTGGGGTCAGCAGCACATCATAATTGGAAGGATTAGCTTTCTACAAACCCTCATGTTTAGCACGTGACATAAGGGCAAAGAGAGGCCTATGGAGAGGTGGGGAGAAAACTGACGGCCCTTGGCTCATGGTCAGGAAGTCAAAAGCCTTTGATTTGCTTCCCATGGTCTCTGCAAAAATATTGGTATCAAATAGTGCTGCTGCTTGTATCTCTGCTGCACTTCAAGAGATACAAGTTTCTTTGTAGGAATTATAAACACAGGTTGCAAGATTATTAAGCAACATACTCTGAGGGTTCTCAAGGTCTGTTTTTTAGAAACATAATCTGCCGTCTGAAGGCAGCCCTCTCTTGTGTTAAACAATGCTAATCTCTTATCTGGAATAACAACATCCAAAATTGTCCACATCAATGGCTGAGATTGTGATATCTTTGCTTTCTGATTATTCAATGTACACAACTTTTGTTTCATACATGCCATTATTAAAATGTTGTATAAAATTAACTTCAGGCTATATGTAGGAAGCAGAAATTATTTTCATTTGGGTCCCATCTCCAGGATATCTCATTAAGGTCATATGTGCAAAAACAGGCAGTCCCCAAGTTACAAACCAAATAGCTTCTGTAGGTTTGAAGTTGAATTTGTATGTAAGTGGGGAAAGGCACATTTTAAGTGTAATTACACACACACTTTTGATAGCATAGGGAAGGGTTAACACCCCTGTGGTGTTTGTTTTGCTGCCTGTGCCCACGTTCAGAAGATTTCACCATACTTTCTGTCCCTGTGATAATTGGATTTAGAAAAAAAATGGCTTGTTGTAAAAACAAGGGTTGGTGATAAGGCTTCAATGAGAAACCTTTTCCCCATGACAACTCTTCTGGGAGTGAATTTTCCTTAAAAAAAAAAAAAGACCTTGAGAACCCTCAGAGTATGTTGCTTAATAATCTTGCAACCTGTGTTCATAATTCCTACAAAGAAACTTTTATCTAGAGGTAGATTTCTCTCACTTTTTGTTGCCTCACTCTCATTCTTAACTATGATTCGTTCATGAATTGTAAGTTTGTAACTCGGGGGCTGCCTGTACAGGTATTTCAAAATCCAAAACGCTTCTGGTCCCAACGTTTTTTGATTAAAAGGTAGTTAAGCAGTAGAAGCAAACAGTTTCATACTTCAGAATAAGGCCCACAAGGAATTTGACTTTCAGCCAAGACTTTAGGGTAAGGTCTTAGTTTACTCTCCATAGAAATCAGTTGAGCATATGTAAACCCCCATTTGCTTTAGTGTCTGAACTCAGTCCAGATTTCTGTCTCTTTCACTAACAGCACTATCCTGAATTAGGACATAATAACTTTCCTCATGCTATGATGCGCAGGCATGTAGCCGGGGGGGGGGGGGTCCCCCCCCCCCCGAAACTCAGCCCCCCCCCCGAAGCCCCCCCCCTGAAAAAAATTCACACACACACACCCCGAAACGAAATCCTGGCTACGGGCCTGATGATGGGTATCATATTCTATTGGCTGGGGAGAGATTTCCAGATATCAGGAGACCTTCAACTGCTGTATACTGAGTACAAAGTGCAAAAGTAGTTTACATTCAGTTAACTCAGCAGCAGAGGAGGGAAAGGAGGAGATGGATAATCATATCCTTCCTATTATACTCTGGCCTGAAACTGCGTGTGTATCCTTTCTCATTAATAATTTTTGCCAAATTGACCACACTCTAATGTTGTCTAGCCATGTGCATCCCAATTTTTATCCATAACATCTTAAACTTGAACATGAGTTCATGCATTCGTTCAGTTAGACATCCTTTAATTCCATGACAACCCATCCACCCCAGCCCACACACATCCTTTCAGCCCCACAGAAATTCTCTGTGACAGAGACTTAGGACTCCCGTTTTGTCTTGTCTCTTCTATTGCTTCCTTGCCTGTAGCCGACAGACTCAGGCTTCTCTTCCCATCCATCCACATACCTCTTCCTCTTTTTGTTTTGACAATGTTGTACCCTGCCGTGAGATGCAAGAAGGGGTAGGTAATAAATATATTGTTGCTGCTGCTGCTGTTCCTTCTACTCTGTAGCCAACTCTAGCTTGTTTCTCCCTCAAATATGTAGCACCTCCTAATAAAATTTCCTCAAAAATACTGTATTTGTTCCTTGACACCCCATTATAGGCAAAAAAAATCTGCTCACCATAGAGTGCCATGTCAACCACAGAAAAAGAAAATTTCCCACAGCTTCTTCAATACCACTCAACCTTCCTGGAATCCTAGAGAGTGTTTACACTACCTGATAAATCTGGGGCAATGCAGAACATTTCTGCTACAGATTGGCCCAGGAGGCAGCCACACGCATCCTTCCAAACCCACTGCAGTGACAAGTCCTGCAAGGTGGCAACTGCATCAGCCCCACCAGAACATCACCTCAATGTCCATGTTGCTGTAACAACTCCTAACCAACAGCAGAGCTCCATGTGAGTTCCTGGCTGCCATAGGCATCCCAGACTGACATCCAAGGAAAAGAAAGTAACTGATCTCTCCATTATCTTCCTGGTCAAGTGGGCACCTCTATTGTGGTCAGCATGGGCACCAACAATGGCCAGAAGCCCAGACAGAACTCTGTGGCTGCCTGGGAGCAGCAATAGTGGCAAAATCCACCTGCTTTTCCTTGCATTGTTGAGTACAAAGAGAAGGGGATGGTGTCCATGACACATGTGGACTATGGACAGGTCAAAATCAGATCTTGCTGCCCACACATCCCAAGACCACAGGGATATGCTGGAGCTTCAAGCAAACTGCAGAGCATCCCTGATTTTTACGAATATGAAGATAAGCCAGTTTAACACATGATACTGAGTGACAGTGGAGAAACAATGTAGGAGCCAATTCAAGATGAGTCTAGGGTTTAGTGCCCATATAGAGGAGTCCCTAATTTCCAAGCACTCTGATGCTGACTTTGTTGTGACTGGTTCTCCAGACAAGATGTGGATGTGACATTGGTCATATGTATTTCTTCTCTGCTTCCTGGAAGCTGTTTCCCATCTTCAAATATTTTCATTGAAGAGACCAAGAAAATAATTCAACATCAAAGTGAACACCATTCCATAAGCAAAATATGTCAACAGGCACAAAGAACCTTTCAATCAATGTATTGTCAAAAGCTTTCACAGCCGGAATCATTGGGGTGTGGTGTGGTTTCCGAACTATATGGCTAACTGCACCCCTCACACTTGATTAATAGACATTGATTATTTCTCTCACCCTGGACATTCCACAGGTATATATACTCCATTTGCTTTACCACCATCAGATCCTCTGAAGATGCCAGCCACAGATGCAGGTGAAATGTCAGGAGAAAATGCTGCTAGAATATGGCCATACAGCTCTGAAAAACTCCAGAAAGGAAACAGTTTATAGATAGATAACACTTTCTTGTATGTGCTGAATTGTGTTTGTGTTTTAAACAAGGGGGAATTTTATAATCCAATTTTGCTAAACATTACCAACAGAGTTGTCTTTTCAGTGTGGAACATACACTGCTAAGCTCCATAGCCTATGCGGTATGACGGTATGAAATCAAGTGAAACCTTCAATGAAATAATCACATGCCTCTTTTGTCAAGGATGCTTTATGTCAGTGTACTAAACTTTGCCTTAAAGCTATTGAAGTGTATGTTTGAGAACACAGCTGCCCACAGGACCTTTGAATTAACAGGCATATTTTTGCACAAAGGACAATAGCAGCACTGATTGCCGGCAGTCAATATTAATATTTGGTTGCTAAATAAAGCAGGCTTTTCATGCCACCATGTCACTCTGTATACTTCTAATCTCATCTGATTTTGGTTTTTAAAAATTAACTAGAAACTAGTTTATAATTAACTAAAATCTACATACAATAATACAGGTAAATCATAGGCAATATATATAATACAAAGGTAGAACACACACTACCAACTACTAACTACTGCTAAGCTACACACTATTAAAACTATGTAAGGTAAGTAGAGTAAAAACTGGAAAAGACACAAAATATAGATAGATCATAAAAAAGAATAAGTGAATTAAAAGTTACTTCCAACTTCCCTACCAATGATATATTTATTTATTTATTTATTTATTATTTAAACTTATATGCCGCCACTCCCCTGGGGCTCGGAGCGGCTTACAAGAATAGCTAAAATCTAACAAAGTTTAAAAGCAATTTAAAACAATTTAAAAACAACAGTATCAAACATTAAAAGCCTGCCGGAACAGGTATGTCTTACATGCCCTGCGGAAAGCTGGTAAGTCCCGCAGGGCACGAACTTCAGGTGGCAGAGCATTCCAGACTGATGGCGCCACTGCTGTGAAGGCTCTGCGTCTGGTTGCCGTTAGACGCAAGTCTTGACACTGGGGACTTCCAATAGATCTTGGTCCTCAGAACGGAGGGATCTCTGGGGTTGGTAGGGGGTGAGACGATCCCTCAGATACATTGGCCCCAGACCATGCAAGGCCTTAAAGGTGAGTACCATCACTTTGAAAGTGATCCGGTGCTCAATTGGTAACCAATGCAGCTGTAGTAAGATTGGTGTTATGTGGCATCTCATCAGAATTCCCGCAAGAAGCCGAGCAGCTGCGTTTTGTACCAACTTGAGCTTCCGGATCACCGACAGAGGGAGGCCAATGTAGAGGGCGTTACAGTAGTCCAGTCTTGAGATGACCGTGGCCTGGATCACTGTAGCTAGGTAGCTCATATATCATATGAGTAGTACTTCTCCTACTCTTACTACTCTTATGTGATTTCAGCTCTGCTACAATCACAGGTTCAGGGCCTAGAGTGCCCTGATCTCAAAGCTTCAAATGAGACACTGACGGGATGAAGGCAAACTCGGAGGCTTTATTCTCAATGGCCAAAAAGGATGTTGGCTGAGTCTGCACTCCAAAGAACTGACATACCACAATTGCAAATATATTTGTATATTTATTGCAC